CTCCGAAGTCCTGAACACCAAGTTGTTGTCGGAGAACCCCCAGGGACAATCCTCTCCGCATCATGTTTTGCGTGCTCTCTGTCATAGGGCCCAACATGGTTTTTCAGTTCTGGGCTGCAGTGTGCGAAAGCACTTCTCGACACTGCGTCTACCGAAAGAACCTGCAGTTCCTGCATAGAGGCGGCCAGCTGTGGGAAGCATCCAAGAAGGCGCAGTGTGACTTCGCAGCCAGCACGTTGCCAGTCGTCGACATCTTCCTTTGGACTGATGTGTCCAAGCAGAGGTTTCGGAGAGCCAGGAAAAGTCGACAAAGCGAGCGCCGAGGCTGCGCCGACTTTGCAGTTTTCTGCACATCTTGATAGTCTTGTCAGGCCATCCCCCCTCAGTTCGCACAACCAGCAAACCTGTGACTGGGCGTGGCCCTTGGACTTCGGAAAGACTGCAGAACTGAAGCTATGGGCGAAGGATCAAAGCTGCTGTCCGTTTGGAGAGCATTTGCTTGGAGAGCAGTTTCGCCAAGAAGATGTGCTATGAGCTTTATAAGGCAGGCTGAGTGAGCTGTTAACTGAATATCATCATGCAGCATGCATGTTTAACGATGCAGCAACTTTCGCCGAGTTGCTGAAAGCCTGTTCGTGACGAACAGTCGGAGAATAGTCTTCGTAACCTGGAAGAAGGCTGAACTGGATTTCGAGAACGGGGAGGCCAAGAGCTTGCGACCTCACTTGTGCCCTGCGATCTGTTCAAGCTGATACCCAGCCGCTGTGGATATGACGGAGGTACTACAACTATCCAACCCGCGGCATCTACAGTGGCTAAGGAATTCTGAGGGCAGTAAGTGTAGCTTCTGCCTTTGAGGATATTTTTTTCGCGTGGCGGTCCAAAGTTGATATGCCAAAGCTCCCGACCAACGAAAAAGGCTCTTGTCCAGATAGACTTTGCCTGGTAGTCGTCCTGCTATGACAGGGTTCACACACTTGTAGACGCTGCTGCTGTCATGTGCTGTGTGTTCTTTGTACACATCCTCCCTGCAACTGGGGCTCCAAGCACCTCATGCCTGAGTGGCAGCCAGCGTCACGGCCTTTGCTGCCATAACATTGCTTGGCTTATGCCGGTTGTCTCCCGTGAAGAAGCTGTGGTCATGTCGATAGGCGCTGCTTCGGTGACAGTCTTCTGCCGCAGCAATGGTGTTTCAAGTTTTCAACTAGGCGGTCCTACTAGAGCTTGGCATGAGTGTATCCACGGTATACGATGACGTGAAAGCCAGCGTTTTTGAGGAGGAGGCGGAGGAGAAACCGGAAGAGGCGCCTCTTTCGACAGAAGCAGGGTGGGAGAATGGGTCCGAGGAGGTCGAAATTACTGGCGAAGGGGATGCCGATGACGCCGAGTCGAATGCTCTTCGAAACACTGAGGCGCGTGACCGACCTCCCGCGAAAGGTGAAGCCCGCAGGAAGAAGCGCCGACAGAAAGGATGCAGTCGTGAGGAGACATTGCTGGCGCTGCGGCGTCAAATAGAGTACTATTTCAGTGATGGAAATCTGGCAGTTGACACATTCTTTCACAAGCATATGTCTGAACACCCAGAAGGTTGGATCGATGCTGCACTGGTGCTAAACTGCAACCGTGTGAAGAAACTAGAAGTCTCGGACGAAGCAGATATTGAAGCAGCGCTGGTGGAGTCAGAGCTGGAGACGCGGTGGTTGCATGGAGCGGATGGGCAGACGTTGCAACTGCGTCGGGAGAACGGTCGGAAATTGCCAGACCTGCGTGCTGCAGGCTGGCTTGCCACAAAAATCGAACAGCGCCGACAGTGCGCTGAGGCTCAGTCACCGGCTTTTGGGGACGCGGACAAGGTGACTCAAGCTCAAGCTCCCAAAGTCGGAGATTCTGTGCGGCTTGTCACCGGGGAGAGCGCTGGACAGAGCGGACAAATTTTATCCGTTGACGAGGGCGAGTTCACTGTCTTGGTCGGTGGCATGGATGTTTTGGTGGTCTCGTCGAGTGAGCTAGAGGTGCATGCGCCTGCATGAATGCGCAAAACAGAGTGAGTGAGATCATTGTACTTAGTGTACTTTGCTCCGCAGTTCTATTGAATTTGCAAAACATTGTCTGGGCCGTGTCGACTCAGCGCCTGCCGAGGAACGCTGATGTCTCAAGGCCAGAGAATACCGTGGTGCTCTCGAGGCCAAGGACTCGTCTCGTCGTTTCGCAGACTTTCTGAGCACCGAGCGAAGCTTGGAGGCAGCCTTTCGAGCCGATCACCAGCAGCTTACAGGCACTGGGGAGTTAAGAGCACAACTGCAAGCATTGGGTACCTTGGAGGGCCCAGAACCGAATGAGTACCGTAAGTGTCGACTTGTCGTTTCTTTCTCATGGGGCTTTGGAAGGTGTTGGCGGTGGAAGGATTCACATTTCAAACAAATTCCCAGGCCACTGAACCGAAGTCAAGTCAGTGTGCTTCTTCGGCAAATCGATGCACCTGTCCTGACTCTTTGAGCTTACTGTTGCAGCAAACGGTAGATGCGGAGCCGGAGATCCGAAGGCTGACCTTTGTCATTGGTTCGTTTATGATCGTGCCTCGACTCGGGCCGGCCATCGCGAGCCGTAGTGGAGCTCGTCAACGCCATGTCTTGCCGGCATATCGGCCGAGCCAGACTTGGTCGGGCTGCTTCTTGCCGACACGCTCTTATTTCCGACAGTTTTCAATGGTGTCCTGATATGCTTAACTCGTACAAATCGCTGCAAGCTTCAATGTAGCCTCTGTACATCTCTGTACGCTCAAAATGCACTCCTCGTGCAGAGTGCTCCTTTCAGTGCTTCGCTTCATCTGATCTGGTTTGCACTGGGCTCTGGGTGCAGCGTGCCGTATCGGAAATGCAACCATGCAATCGAGGCATGCAGCGCCAGACTCTTGCGGCCAGAGTCTCAAACGCTTGTACACTGCAGCGTTGCAGAGCAACATGTAGCCTCCTGGTCAGCTTGCTAGGTTTGTTTGCAGTCCTGGCGAATGCGGGCAATTGCTTCTTGCAGCGGAGGATGGGCTGCAAATATTCTCAATGCCTGGGGATGCTTGCAGTCTGGTTGCGCAGTGCTGTTGAGGCTGCTGGCTGGCAGCGGTGCCAGCCTGCGAGTCCAAGAGAGAGCAAATGGCTCAGTTGTTTTGCCATGTGATGTTTCCTGCTTTAGCCACAACGATACGATAGGATCCGGCGCAGGTGCAACCATTTTGGCAAGCGACGTGTTGGTTGAAGAAATGATGCAACGTCTCAGGCCAGTTTTTGTCACTCTTTGCTCCATACATTGCATGTCTTGCAGAAAACATGGCGAGGCCATGGGTTCCGGAGGACCATTCACGTAACCACATTTGAGAGGTATGGGCCTTTGAGCTTGAGTCTGCAGGAATGCTTGGGCAAGCAATTCTGGGGCATGGACGGTCTCTTACATTGTGGCTTCGCCCCCCAGCACGCGATGAGAGTAATGTTTCAATCAACTGTGAGGCGAGCCAGTGGACCTTTGTAAAACTTCAGCTCTGGACTTATGGTGTCACCGCGTCCCCGAACCAAGGGCTGTCGCAACTCGGTGCAAAACTGAGGCCTGGCCAGTCCATTTGCATCAGCAACGAGGCTCGTGATTGCAGCTTCTTTCTAAAGCACTCTCTGGCGCTGTCTCAGTGCCAGGGTCATGCAGCGCATCCGATGTCAAACGCCATGCTGCCGTCCCAGCTCGTCATCGTGGCCATTTTCCACGTATTTCCGCACATGTTGCTCTGCTGGTGAATCCAACATCCGAGGCTGTCGACATCCGCCTGTTCCCAAGGTCAGAGTGAATGAAAGGGTTTGACGGTTCTTCCGGCAAGCCAAGGTGCTCATTCCGTTGAATGCGGCAGGAGCACAAGTCGATTTCAAGCTTGCCCGCAATAGCGAGGCATCGAGAGCAACATGAAGAGTGCTGCCTGTGCACTTCTCGGCCGCATCGGTCAAAGTTTGGCATGCACCACTTACCAGTTTCTCTGTTTTCGTCAGCGCGCGCCTTGCCCTCCGATGGAACTTCCACTTTTCTGTTCTCACGCCCTCGTAAAGGGTTGCCATCCGCAATCCTCGTCGTTTTTTCGTGGCCTTCGCTCTGCTGTGAATCGCCATCCTGGGATCCGGACGACCTCTGTATCGGGCATGTCGGGTAGGCATCCTCGTCGCATGTTTCCCAAGCAAGTTTCTGACCGATAATCTTCATACTCCATTGTCCAGCAGGTTGAATGTGTCTCGCCTGCAGCTGTGGTGAAAAGTTTTGTCATGGCACTCGACTTCGATCGTTTCGTGTGCGCGGTGTGTCACTGTGTGGTGGGGCTTTGTCAGGTTTGCGTTTCGGTTCGACGACCAAAGCCAAAGACTGTGCAGGTTCCTGGCAAGCCCTGCGCTGTGGAGCAGGGGTCGGCCATTCTGCACATGCATCCACAGCATTTGATGGAGGCACGACCTTTCACGTGTGAGACCTTGTGTGTCGATGCGAGCTGAGAGGTCTGCACGCCAATCCGCATCTTGCATGTGTTATGGCTGCAGCTGCGCTACGGAATCGAATCTTGATGGCACTGCTCGAGGGGTTGTTGGCGCGGCTGTGCCCACCGAAGCTCAGCGTGCCAGCGTGTGTGTGCCCAGGGTCTTGTGAAGCTGCATCATCTTATTGTTGCCATCGCCTCACTCTGGTGCTGTATCGATGCAGCGGGGTCGGTCCCAAGCCACATACTCATGCCATGCCCAAGTGTGTGATTGTTCTGGCTGGCCCGAAATGTTGCTGGATCACAGGGACACGTGCCCGAGCCCGCGATTGTGGATGACTGGGATTGGTCTGCAGGGTTGCCAAGTGTGATCCATTGAAACTTCCCTGTACCTGAGGTGGTGGAGCACAAAGGATAATTGTTTATTGTATCTGAGTTACCAGAAGAATGCGAAAGCATGGCAATCGCTTTCCATCCTTTATGATGATTACTTAAACCATGTCAAACCTTTCTGTTACACCCCCAATCCCTCAGCCTCGGCACTTCAGTTGCAGCTAGGCTATCCTCCCACGTGTTACCCTTGCATGCTGTCCTGGCATTGCACGAAGCCAGTGGCAGCATATTGCCATTGCCGTGGGTTGACAGCAGCCTGGAGCCTATCTACTACATAAATGTCGCTCTGGGCCGTGCATGGGTTTGTGTTCGCTGGCTTCTATTCTATGGCCACTACTGGATCCCGAGTGGATGGTTGGAAGGCCAAATGAGCTACATGCAGAATGTAGTCTAAGTCGGCCGCTATCTGTCGCCGATTACCCTTGCCATGCCTAAGCAAGTGTTGCTACTCCCGAATTGCACGAGGGAGAACGCGAGGTTGCGTTGTTTGTATCATGCAGGGGCACACGGCACTTGTGGCTCTTGGTGCGCAATGAAGCTGTGGGCACAAGGCAAGGGGGAAGGGGCAAGGGAGACGTTTTTCCCTGCACCTGCATCGTGGAGTACCTGGTGCATGTTGATGCAGCTGGTACCGAAGAGGACTGGACCTTATTCTCCAGCCCAGGGGCAGGACCCAAGCCCGAAGGAGGACACAAACTTACAGGGCCAGGACCACGACCCAAGACGATGCCATGACTAGATCGCCTACAACATCTTCAAGATGCTGGAGATATCTCAGAACATAGCACTTTGCAATTTTCATGCAGGGGCCCAGAGGCGGTGTGGGGTGTGGCCCGTGTGTGCGATCTGGGACATCATCCATTGTTGCCACCGCTCGTTCTGGTGCTGTGGCATCCCATGCTGTGCCACACTTTGTGCATGTAGGGCTGTTACTGGGAATCTGAGGAAGACAAGTCCATGCAGTTGGCCAGAAGCTTTCGCCTTACGCCGGACACGAATATGGGTTGGTCATCAACCTGACTCATGCTGGAGGTGTTCTGAGCAGTTCCCCACCAGGCCAGGTCGCTTGCTGCTTTTGCTCAGTTCCTCTTTCGGTCCTCATCTTGACTTATCCAGGCACGCTCAGTGTCGTGTAGAGAAATGGGACATGATGACAGAGGATTGACTTGACTCGACTGTGCTTACCTTTCTGTCAGAGTGCGCTCCTATCTTGGTGGCGCCGCCCCCTGCAGTGCCAGAGCCTCAGAAGCCGTGTCGTGCAGGTCGGGTGCAGATCAGGAGGCGGGAGCTCTCTACTTGCGTATTCTGTGCAGTCTGCACAAGATTTCTCTGACCGGTATATCCAACTCGATTGCAAAGGCCAGTCCCGCCTGCGGTGCCTGTCGAGGCGCTGAAAGCTTCAGTTAGTTGCAGCCTTGACACAAGCTGAGTAAAGCCAGGCTCCTTCTATCGATCCAGCCTGCGAACACGTGACTTGTCATGGATGGCTGGTCGTTCTTCTCGCTCTAGGAGTCTGTAGGGTGCCGCCGGTGCAAGGTGGTTGGCAGTCCTCACGTTTGGGAGCCCGGCGACTAGCACGACGAGGTGGGTTCGCATAGTCAGACGGATCGCAGCGTGTAGCTCCCGGAGTTGTGGGGCAACGGTCTGGGAGAATAAGTCTCAGGCCCTTGCAAGATTGAGTATCCTGTAGCAGATGTCCGAGATGTGGACAGGCGAGAGCTGCTCGAGCCCGTCGCAGAAAGTGTTGCTGGATAAATCGGAAATGTAGTTTCCAACATCTGCAACAGGAGAGACGTCGCGAGGGAGAGAAAAAGACAGGTCCTCTGTCCCTGTAGTCACCGCGGTCTGCTGTTTCTCTCAAAATGCGTTCAAAGGGAAATTCTTCAGGACGTCCTAGTCCAAATTGAGGCCTCTTCGTGCTTGATGCAAGCTGCAAGTGATTGTCTGCTTCGCCGCTTCGCCGCTTCGGCTGGACAAGCTCGACGAGCGCTTCCTGTCCCCTGCCCACCTATGCGGTCAGCGCTTAAAGGCCACAGGGCAAGGGGTTGGAATTTGTTCCTTTGTGCTTGGTGCGTCGCCATCGGGGCCTGCAGACAGCCAGGCAGGCGGCCATGCAGGAAGGCGATGAGATTTTTGAGGCCACATCTCAAGTCTGACGAGGAGACTGGGTCGGCATTCTCGTTGGCAGCACAGGCCGCAATGGTTGCCGTGAAGCGGCACTTTGATGCAGAGGAGTCGGAGCCTAAGCATCCTAGCTTCCCGGCAGGTGTCCGCAGCTCCCGGACGACAGTCGAGAAGCATGCTGCTGCTGTCAATGTGAGTTTCGTCAGGTTTGAGCCTGCACTGAAGTTGATCACAAAGGCCAGAATGTATAGGAGTCATGTGTGCGAAGCTGCGGAAGACTGACTCTTGCCTGTGAACTGAAGGCTTATGAGATGAAGCCTAACGATCCACTGGTGGTTAGGACGGCCATGCCCATCGGTCCACATCGTTCAACGTGCACTGTCGCACGCTTTCAACCTTCTTCTTACTGTTGGCTTGCAAGTACCTTGGCGTATAAAATATTGGCAAGACAGAAAAGTTCTGTTCGACACCACGGCTTCCCATGGTAATTTCTACCAGAGGACAGGAGAACATGGTAGCATGTCGATACAGCCATCAGTTTGTGACAGCATTCCTCTAGTTGACTGCCACTGTTTCGGGCAAAGCTGTCCTGCCATGGACAATGACCAGAAGCTTTGCGTGCCAGCGCGGCATGTGCTTGCAACGCGCAGTTCTGCAGTTCCCATCGGGTTGACAGCATGGCCGTTTCGGAATTGAGTTGCTTGCATGCCCGCGCATCATGCAGGCAGGCCCAGTTGCAGATTGGTAGCATTCCTTTGGTTGTGTGATACCATGTGAACGCAAGCCTTTCGACTTTTCTACGCCGCAGGATTGGGTCAAACCCTACGCCCGTTGACCCAAAAAGGCACAGCCCTGACCACAAAGGACTGGCAATCGAACTTATAAACGTGCAGGATCCTTTGACGCAGCAACATAGCACGAGTAACCTGGCCGTGCGAATCGGGAGCTCATGGTGCTGAGATAGCGGAGCTCGGTCGTTTTGCCGGAGCCTGGTGCATGATGGCAACCAATGTCAAGTTTCAAGAGCTCCCGGACATGATGCTTCCGGCATCTTGTCAGGCATGCCTCTGCCTGCACTACTGCCCCTGGATGGAAGAATGCTGTTGCTCGCAGCCGCTTCCAATCAGTCTAGGTTTGCAGCGATCCAGAGAGACGCAGCTACAACCTCTCTTGGTCCAAAAGACGAAGGTTGCGAAGGCAGTTCGCAAAATGCTCTCACATGCATCAGCACATCCGGTGGCTCACAGGGCAGATTGTGCAAGTCAGGAGAGCATGTTGACTCGATCCAGCAAGTGGGGCGAGCTTGAGACACTACAAGCCAGGGTGCGAGCTGCAAGTCACCATTTGGGTGCAACCGATCCACTGATCAGGCGCACCAACAAGGTGGTGTCCAAGGCATCTTCTCTAAGGTATTATTGTATGAATTCATATGTGCAATTGTCAATGCAATGCTTGCCGCGGGTCATGGACGAGATGATCGGACGCCTCTACGACTTGCAAAAGCTGCCTCTAGGCCTTGGTGTTTGGGAGGATCCTTTCCTTTCTTGGGCTCGTGAGGCAGAGGCTGTGTGGCGAGACGAGCAGCCCAGACTCGAACAGCTTGTGAGCTCGATAAACAAGCCTTCACATTACTGCAACATGTGGGTTCATACGGCGCTAAGTGCTGATTCGAGATTCCTGCGGGCATTCAACAGAGCAATGACCAACGAGCTCTTGAAGCTACCAGACGCAGGCTCTTTGTTGGCAATGTCTATTGGCGAATCACTCAGTGAAGTTCATTTGCCCTCGGTGCGCGAAGAAATCCGCCGCCTCGCTTCAGCACTCGGAGTCCTGGAGAGCCAGTGGCTCGAGCACGCCTTGCTTCGTCAAATCAAGGGTAGGACGAGCCTTGAGACAGCAGCTGGCCTTGGGGACATCCGAGCTCTGTGTGCGCTGATATCCGCACTTCTGAACGAGGTCGTCATCATTCAACCAAAGGCTTGTGCCCAACTTGCAGGAGCAGTCCGGCACACGGAAGCCATGTCGACTATGCCGCAGACACTGCGAGCGGTGTGCGAGCTGTGCAAGCGAATGATGATTAGTGAAGAGGAGGCACGTTTCCTAAGCGTTGAACTGCTGAGCAACGGGGGCCTGCGCATCGGACTGCAGACAGTCTGGGGTCACCCCAGCGCTCAACGTGCTGTCGATGCAATTGGCGCCGGCGCTGTGATAGAGAAGAAGATGCCTCTCGGTGAGCTGCAACGGCCGCCTGGCTAATTCTTGAACCCACTGGCTTTACGTGTCCCTTGGAGCGTTTGTTGCTCATGAACTCAGGTGGCAGTCAGGAGTGGACGCCCTGAAAGAGGCCGGTCGAGAGAACTTTAACTCGGCAGTCACTCCGCTCGTCCTCGAGTCGTCACCGCGAAGGTGGCAGCATTTCCAGATCGCTGCAAAAGAGCCTTGCATGCTTCCCAGCACTGCGCTCTGGTGCTTCGAGATGCTGCGGGCTGAGTGGTGAAGCGTGATGCAGCGTCAAGAGGAGTCGAAAGGAGTCTCCGGAGAGTTTGCAGTTTGCTCAGGCCAGGAAGACGGCTTTGGAAGCGGTGAGCTCGGCAGCCACCACATCGAGCTTGCTGGACGACTTGTTGCCGAGGTACAGACTAAGCGAGCCCTGAATGCTGTGGTTGAGAAAGCGAGATTGCCTGTAGAGGCACGTTGCACAGCAACTCAAAGTGGCAGAGCTGGAGCAAGAGTACACGGTGAAAAGCCCAGCCAAATGCTGTGACGCTGCGGCGATTGTTAGAGGAATCGACTCCTAACTGCCGAGGCCAAAATCAAAGTCGAAGCGGATCTGTCCAGAAAGGCCAGCAATGAGATGGGCACCTTTCGCTGCTGAAGACTTGGCCAAGCTCAGCTCTGAGATTTAGTTTATGGATTCGAGGCCTTGCGCGGCTCGGAGGAAGATGAGGAAGTTCTGGAAAAGTTCCAGCGGCAGATGAGGGAGGTCAGCTGCTGTAGGTTGCAGATGGTGCAGATAGCAGTTTCTGCGGGCCTCGTGGGAAGGAGAAGCAGCTGCTGAATGATGCCCGTTCTCATCTTAGCCCAAAGACCACCAGGATGTGATTGGAGATCACGAAGCGAACTTTCCTGAGCCCGAGGCCAGGTTTTTCAAGATCTGCAGCAAAGGATGACATCCACCCAATCTCATCTTGAAGAGGCAGTGGTAGTGAGGTAGTGGCCTGTGGCCCAAAGTAAAGAGTTGTGGGTCTTTTAAGGCGATTTTGCACCTCGTGAAGTCCGCGGTCCAGTGGAAATCTGCCAGTCTGGAGGCTTTCAGCAAACGCAACCAGTCATTTCTCCACAGCACTGCTCTTCGTAAGGCAGGCGAGAAGGACACCGTTGCTACCACCACGACTGCTGCTTTCCAGGACATTTGGTGTTCTGCGAAACGTTGGTGGCAACTGGAAAACTGGCAGGACTTGCTGCATGCCTCTCTGCGTCCGCTCAAAAGGGCCTCGGTTGGTCCCCGAGCCCACCATGTCACTTGACGACGACACGTTTCATGTGATCTGTAAGGCAACAGCAGGTCACCTAGGTCTAGGTCTCTTAGCTATGCTAGTAGTCGGCACCAGCGCTGCCTAAAGGCAGCTTGAACAGCTTGGCGAAGCCTGGCTCCAGAGTGCCGAAGTGTGACGCACACCGAACGTGAAAAGATGGGGGCCGCGCCGGCTACTATGACTGACGCTTCATAATGAGGGATTGCACCTCAAGTAACGGGGACAATCTTAGAATCTTCGGTCCCATTGTTCGCAAGCGCGATGGCCAACTGAGACACCTGCACGCTATTCCGATGTTCCGGCATTGGGGATTCAGCGCCTGGCGGGAACAGCGCAGATCCCAGATGACTGATCCTAGTGCCGGCTGCCTGCCAGGCTTCTGGACTCCCTCGGCGAGACTGCCGACCTGGAGGTTGCACGAGAGGCCAAGCATGGCAGAGGTTTTCGGAGACTTAGAAGACTTAGAGAAGTCTTTTGCGAGGTGCTTGAAGCCAATGCATGGAACTTGGAGGTCTAGTGAGACTCGCTGCTTCACGATTTCCCTTCCAGAGCGCCAGGCAGCGCTAAACATCTTGACCGCGGAATGCCAAGCATCTTCCAGGCGATGTCGACGATTCTATCAAGTGTTTGAATGAATCTTGTGGCTACACTCGCAGGCAAGATGATGCTGAAGGCTATCGTGCTCCAATGCGCACTGGGTACAGGTGCATTCTGGGCCGCGCCCAAGTCAGACTGCTGCAGTCCTTCGTTCCATGTGACAGGGACACGCTGCTGGGCAGGAAGCTCAGCGCAGCAAGTGATTAATCCAGTCCGTGTGCACAGAGCCTTCAGCTTCTCTGTCAGTGGGCCCCTGTATGTTGGCAATTGGGACATTCGTGCGATGAGCAGAGTGGTGATCAGGTGACCCCCAACTACCATGGTCCTTTGCATTCGACAGTTTGAGTGCAAGTCCAGGCATTGACCATCCTGTGTGTTGCTGCCGGACCTGGCCAAAGAGCTTCACAAGTGTCCGGCCAGGAGTTGAGACTTCGGGTGCTTCTAATGCCGTCGACGATTCGGAGATGCAGTTGGCGACTGACCTTTCCGTCACGATCCTGGTTCGACTCTTCGCCAGCCATGCCTCAGAAGGCGAGTGCTCGCTGCTTCACGCGACGAGCAGCAGCAACTGGACGACTTGCAGGATCAGTCTGCCAGAGTTTTCGGCGTGCTGCTTGCGCACCGCATTTTTTTGTAATTTGCAGGAGCAAAACGCGTTGGCCTCTGCCATCGAGGCTTCATGGACTCAGCTGGAGGAGGAGGCTCCGGCTCCGGTTCCTTGGTAGGCAATTCTGACACTAGTGTTGTGTGGCGCGAGGAGGCTCGCAAGCATGCTCAAGCAAGCTTGCGCAGTGAAGAAGAGGGCCTCCTGGTCAAGGCCATTGAGGCAAAGAGCCCTTGCTGTGCAGCTATGCCATAGCTCCTCTGCCTGTGCTCTTGATTGTTTTCCTAGTAGCGCCATGTGGGACTGGGGTTGCTGTAGCGTGCTGGGCTGTAGATTCACAGGTCGGACTTGAGAAGAGAGGGAAATTCATACTTTTGTCTCTTGATCCCGCCCGCCCCAGGCAGGGCGGGGGTGGATTGAAAGTTGCCTTGCCGCAGCAGTCCTTTGCATGGTTCTGCCTCTAGCCAGGCCTCCTACAGAGAGCAGACTCGTGGGGACTCCAGCTCAGTATCCTGTTGTCAGAAAACAATACGAATGCAGATGAGAAGCATATATCATCAAGGATTCCAACTTCAGGGAGGAGTTGGAGAGAGCATTGTCGCAGTCACAGACAAGTGCCCCTCGTAGACGTTCTAGAGCTTTGGACAGCACCAAAAATCACAGGTACCTCAGATCCACCTCCGAGGCCTAAATCAGCGTCCAGGCGCAGCAGGGGAGCCGACCCAACAAGGCACAGGAAGAACCGAGACACAGACTCACTGAAGGTGTCCGGAGACCTTGCGCCAGCCTCAAGGCCCCGGTCGGAAATTTTGCACACGGTGCGTTACCTTAAGTGGCATCTACGTTGCATCGCCTATGCGTATGCACTGGCAAGCTGTGTACACCAGCATACACCCTCAGTGACTCAGACTCATGTAGATGACAGAATCGCTTCTGCCTGAAGTCAAGCCTTGCCCCCACATGACAAGAAGATACAAGAAGACTTGGCACCGGCAGTCTTTAGCTTCGGGAATTTTGGCTTCGGTGGCATGGGCCTTCTGCAGTCTGCAGACCCTGCAGTTCTGCGTTCCTTGTGGCCTTGTGGCCTTTGCAGCCAGCAGTCCAGTCCCCCTGCAGTCCTGGAGTCCAAAGTAGCCACCTGTATTTCCTTCTGTCCTGACCAAGTCCAGACACCCGGCCCCCGACAAGTTAGTACTCCTACGGTTTCTGGTGCCGCTCGTAGCATTGCGTGCCCCTGGTTCGCACATCACTAGCACCAGTAACAGTAGTGAGTGGGGCTAGCAAGTCACCGTCGCAATAGACACCTTTTGCACAAACCTTGCGACCAGTCTCTTAGTCTCAGATCTGCATTTCAGATGTGAACTTCTGGTGAATTACCCAATTTCTGGCCCAGCTTGCCATGCGCAAAGTGCCTGCAACTAGCTCACGATTCAAGCTAGCTCTCTTCTCCTCGATTATTTGACAGAGGGGGAGCTGTCTGATTACAGCAGTCTTGAGGCTCCAGCAAAAGCTCGCCAGCGGCCCGCGGAGCTGCCTCTGCCTGAGCATCGTGTCCTCCAGCCGTGAAAGCCGGCCTTGGGCTTTGGCCCTGTGCAAGGCCTTGAAAGGGAGCAGTTTGCTGAAGCGAGCCTCTCCGCTGCAACTGTTCATATCCCTTCTTGGTATCGGCGCTGCGCATTGTGGGTTGGTGCTTTGCGCTAAGGCTGGCGGAGCTATGGCATCCGCTTCAGGTACAAAGGAAGCGCACATTTTCAGAAAGCATCGGATGAACTTTGGTGCAATGCAGGAGCTCACAGCCCTGCCACAGCGACCTGACAGATCTCGGGTTGGCCGAAAGCTCATCACCTGGGTCATGTCATGTTCATGCATGACTCGCTCCTTGCCAGGCAAAGGCAGCATCCGCTCTCAGCGAACAGCGGACTCTGGGGCCACGGTTCTCAACAATTTGAAGGGCACTTCAAGTGTTGGTGCAGCGGCTGCGGTGGCTGTGTCTCCCACTCTGGTGGCTTCGCCCCCGTCTGCTGCCAGCGGTGCAGCAGCTTGCATGGCTGGAGCTCTCGTTCCAGGATTTCTGCAGCTTGCTTGTCCCTCCAATCCAGATGCAACTAGCCGCAGGAGAGAATGGTCAAATGAAGGATCGAATCGGCTCCATCCAGGTAGGACGGTAGGAGCATGTTTGGACTGACTGCTTTCCATTTCGTGCACCAGACTCGATGCAGGCCGCCAAAGCTGCCGAGCGTGGCTTGACTTGAACTGCGGCCGGACATCGTCGGACTCTCTCACCGGTCTTCTCAAAAGAGCTGCAGGCCGACGTGAAGCACAAGCCTTTGCAGGGTCAAGCTCTGCGGAGGCGAATATCTTCAAATATCTGCAATTGAAGTTGGCATAGCGCCCTGCTAATCGTTTACGACGGATTGGGATCCGACCCAGGCCGAGGGAACATCTGCTGTTCAAGCCCATTGCGGGCAGCCCAACATGATGCAGGCAGAGGGCTCAGAGGTCCAGTCTGGAAGAGTCCGGGCCTAGCAATGGAAAAGCTTCTGGCAGGCGTCGCGGGAGGTGCTCTCCAGTGCGCTAGCATCCCTCCACCGACGGCATTTTGAGGTCAGCTTGTGGCGACTTTCAGCTACCGTATCCACAGCGCAGCCAGCCAGGCAAGCCCAACACAACTTAGAAGCTGCTTGAAAGCTTTGAAAGTCTACGTGGGAAACTTGGTCTTGCACTCAGCGATTTTCGAGTGTCTGTGCAGCATTTCAGTCTTGGAGTCTTGGAATGTCATAGACCTTCAGGCCTCCAGCCCGCAGGTAGGACGGTCATGCGCGGTCACACGAGTCACACCCCGCTTGTGTGCAGCGAAGTTGCTGTCCAATGCTCCCAGGAGATGAAGTTCCAGCGCATCAACAAAGACAACAGGGCTTTTTGCTCTCGCGTGTCTTCCTTGCAGGCGAAACAGATCGAAACAGCTCTAGTAGACTCGGACGGTTATCATCTCTCTTCCCTGGCAGGGTGCAGTGGAGATTCTGCAGGCCTGCGGTTTCAGAGATCAGGGCGACTGCTGGGCAATGTGCTTAGTGCTGAGGCATGCAACTGCGAACAATTTGAAGCTTCTTTGCTGGACCGAGGTTGTCGACCCGGCCTACATGAAGCAGAAAGGGTCAGCGCTATTCGATGCTCTTGCAAAGATTGAGGCCATACTGTAGCATGACAAGCACTCACGACATGAGCGGTGCGTGCCGAGTATGGCTAGGTGCTTCTTCATCATGTCGAAGCGCAGTCAGCCAAGGCATAAACACAGAAATCCGTGTTTCACTAGGGCCGCCTTGCCGAAATGTGGCATGCTGGCCTTCTAGCTCCAAGCAGAGGTGCATGCAGCAAAAAGCAGATTGATTTGTTTCTGCATCTGCTTCTTACCTTCAGCTGCTCCACCGCTGCCTGGCGCGGCCGAGGCTCAAGCACGACACGCGACATGTCAGAAAAGGAGGAAGGAGGCCTCGGCAGCCTTGAGGAGGTCTTGGACTGGAAGGAGCGGGGCAATGCCAGGCTAAAGGCTGCCGACAACGACGCTGCCCTCGAGTGCTACTCACGTGGCATTGATATCGGCGTGAAAGCCATCTCGAGCTTTCAAGGTCTTGCTCAGGATTTTGACCCTTTGAAGAAAGCAGTGAGCCAACTTTTATCAAACAGGGGCCACATCCGCTTGGCCCAGCAATTGCCCAAATTGGCCCTTCAAGACTGCCGCCGGGCTGCTGAGGTGGACTTTGAAAATCCAAAGGCATACTGGCGTGGCGTCACTGCAGCGCTGCAGCTCGAGGAAGAGCAAGAGAGGCGCGACGCGGCAGAATTGCTTCGGCAAGGATTGCGCCTGGCTTGGGGTACTGGAGGTTCCGCACTTTCAAAGCTCCTGGGTGAGAATCTCCACTTGTGGCGGGAGTGGGCAGATGCTGGACACGTGCCCTCGATGTACCTTCTCGCCCTGGCTCTATTCAAAGGGAACCAGGTTAAGCAAGACAAAGCCAAGGCCTTTGACTTATTCCAACAGGCAGCCGGCAGAGGCGATAGCGCATCTGCCGCGATGGTAGAGCACCTGCAGGCAGAGGTCTGTCTACCTCCAGAGCTAGAGGTTTGGGCAAGGGCTGCTGCGGCAGGAGATACTGCTGCCCAATTCAATCTGGGCTTAGCCTATTATCGTGGCGACAGGGTTCCACAGAATCTCGCGAAGTGCGCTGAACTGTGGGCCCAGGCGGCTGAGCAAGGCGACGAAATGGCCCAGGCGAATCTGGATCAGCTGCAGCGGCTGATGTCGGAGCAAGGTGTGCAAAAAGCTCGAGGAATGCGAGATTCTGCCGGTGTTGCACAGGTGTTCTTGATGCAATCTCGCGTCTTTTCCGCCATGCCATGCTTGCATGAGGAGCTACATATACACTCTCGTCAATGTCTCTCAGTGGGAGAACGTGCTGAAGGCTGCTCACGGCCGAAGTCTTGCCCAAAGTGTTGTGCAGACTCCGCTGAAAGGCCTGCGAGAAGCATGCGGCTTTGGAGGCCAACCAACATTCTGAACATTCGGCACAGTCTGACACCGCCGACTTGAATCGTGTTTAGAGCGAGCCGAAGCAAAGCAGAACGAATCAATCACAAATGTTGAGTTCAGGGAGCTGGACGAGATGGCAAATGTGAAGCGCGGAACCTTCCTGAGCAGGGGCTATTTCCGGAATGCAGGCACCTTCGAGGTACACGCTTCCGGAACCGTGGCCCACAAAACAGAGGTACGCACCGTGAAGCAACTTCGAAGATGCTTTGGTTGGCAAAGCCCGGAAAACCCGTTCTTTTCCCACACTGAAAAAGCACTGCACACGCCGGACAGCACCGCCTGTGTCGTTCAAGAACAACCTTAAGTCTATGCTACTTGTACGAGAAGCCTGATATCGCCCTCGGGCCTCGAGTCCAAAGCCGCCAGGACTTCACCCTTGAGCATGCCTATGCTCTGTGCCCTCAGCATGTCCTGTTGGGCACGCAGATTCTCCAGCTTGACCTCCTGCAGGTATCGCCTGAACCGGTTCCAGCAGGCTTTGCAAGTCTTGGACTCCAGGCACCATGCTGCTCTGCGCTGCTCTGCGCTGCATTCCAAACTTTGATCCCATGTGGCCCCCGCGGGACAGGAAAGCAGCAGACAAGGACGCCGCTGCAAGCAGGCTGCGTTTGCAAGCGCAGGCGGAATGGTCTTGTGAGCACCAAGGAAGACTAGGAGGAATGTCTGCTGTGGCCAGATTCAGTACCGACTGTCAGACTACGGCGCCTGTCTTCGTCTCAACTCAATTGAGGTCCAGCTATGTAACACTGTTGTCCTCAGCCATGAGGCGCAGATGTTTACGAGAAGCTTCACCAGGAGGATGCTGAGGCCGAACTGCCGGGGCCAAAGTTAGGGACGAGCTTCTGACCCGCTGATGTTTCAGGACCACGGCCTGATTGTGAATGCGGTGGCCTCCTATGTGTCGGGCGACAGACCACGGCAGGCACCTTCAACTTCGTGCCTGTGCTTTCCATGCTTGGCAGCCCTGGCTGGAGTCTGCTCAGGCCATGAACCTGATTGCCAGGAACAAGGCCGGTCGTGGTTTGTCCGTCCTCAGCCAGTTCCCCCCCGAACTGTTAAGCCGCAGGAAGCACTTGAGTCGTCTTACGAGCTGTGCTTCAATGCTGCCTGCGCGCTCATCGATGAGGGTCGGCTGAAAGAGGCTGAGGCGCGGTTGATCTCTGACCGCAACAGCAGGAAAAGCTGCCGTGTCTCCAGGACAAATTGACTCAGGCCAAAGAGCTCTGCACCGAAGAGCTCATGCAGGCATTCCGCTTTCCATAGCCTTTCCATGCTTGGCCTTTGGTTCCTGGCCTTGCTGTGAGGCTGAGGAGATCGGAGAGGAAGATGCAGCGCTGCTAGAGGCGACTTTGGGTTTACGCGTGCAGAGACGCGTGCAGAGACACTCAGCGGGCTCTGCAGGATCATGAGGAGCTTGCAGCAATCCGAGTGCAGCAGGCGCAAAAGGCTCAGAAACCGGAGGAGGTTGCTGAAAGATGTGGAACCGAGAATCTCAGGTGTGTGATGCAGCGTCGGGGCCTGGAAGAGGAGGCCAAAGAAGTGCCTGCTCCTGAACACGATCTTGCGGAAGATAGTGAAGCATTGGATCGCATGAGCTGTGTAAGAGTGTCTGCAGTTTTAGGTATGACAAAGTTCTGCGACAAAAACCAAATCAAGGCCACGAGGTCCGGTGATGGCAAGACCCACCAGCACACGTGAACTCATACCGAGCTGTGTTTCGGTAGGTAGATGTGACGGTGCTCGCCGTTGCATGCAACAATGTAGTTGCCCTTCGTTCTGCTCCCAGACCGTCGTGCATTGGTGTGGCAGTGGTGGCATGTTGCCCGCTTGAGGTTCTGAGGGCAAGTCCCTTTTCGACAGCCTAAAGCGCATCAACGTGGCTTCGAAGGACCCGTCGGCCGATTTCGAATGCTTTGTTGTGCTTGTGTGGCTGTGCGGCATTGTCAGGAAGGATTGGAGCACAAGCAGACTCGCAGACAAACCGTCGAGATTGCATGCAACAAGGTGTTGTTGCTGCTCCAGGCCTGAAGCACAGGAAAGCCCAGCAATCCCGAGTTCTACCTGCTGCACTCGTGCAGGCGCAAAAGATAGATGTTGCCAAGAAGGAGCTTGATAAGCTGTGCCATGACCCCGGCTCGTACGTATCCCTTACTGCAAACCAGCGTTTCAACCGGTTCAAGTAGATGTTTTCGGACTGCTGCATTCCAGCGCCGGATCTTCGTGAACACAAGACCCTCCTGAAATGTTGCCACGAGAAGACCGAGGATGGAACATCAAACGGCCAAACCAGTACGATGGACTGCAAAACAACATCATCCAGTCGCATTCCACTTCCGACTTGCCCGGTTGTGAGTTTTACGCCTGCTTGGTCGCGCCTGATTAAACATAGTATCTGCAGGGACATCCTTCGGAAAGGCTAAATATCTCTGAGTGATATCAGCATACGCTGCACAGAGCAGAGGCTTCGATCTCCCTTGCAGCTGTCAACGGCCCAGAGCTGTCGTACGAGTACCACTGTACCAGTATTGAACGAGACCTCTGCCTGCTCGTGTCAACAAAATCTGGGACCGGGAAAGTGGGGAGGGGAGGAGGGGTGGGTGGGTGCAGTTGTGACGTGCGAGTTCTTCGCACATGCAATTTGTTGTCTCACCGGCAAACGAAAAAAGCCGGCCGAGAGCTTCGGTGAGAAATTGCAGCACATGAACCGATGTCTTGAAATGATGCTGGCTTGTAGCAAGTTCCTTTAGTGAAGCCTGATTGCAGCAAGCAGGAATTCATGAATGAAGATGGCTTTTAATTGTTTAGCCGAGTCATCGCTCCTGTTATAGGTTTCAGCTAATATTGATGAGTTACGTAATGGTTTAGTAATGGTGGTTGAGCAGATGTAGCGACTATGTAGTTTATGAGGACTGCTGTCTGCATGTGGCCGGCTTTTTCAATTGTCCGAGCGTACAAAGAATGAAGAAAAACTTCGCTGCCGTTTGTGAAGAGATGGCAACAGCGCGAAGACATGTGGTCAGGGGTGCACATGGGGTGAGTCCTCCGAGGTGAAAGCTACCCTGACCACCCCCGGGTAGCTCTGGTACAGGCATTGACCTCAGTTCGCGTGTTACACAGCCCCCCGCGGTAACCACGATGCAGTACAGCTTGCATCTATGGTGATGCCAGGCTGCGATTGCTCACAGAGAGAAGAAGGGGAAAGTTTGCTGGATCCTGTGACGTTGGCAGGCGCAGCAAGGACTTGAAAGCTAAGTGTGTACCTATGCCAAGGCGAGGAGATCCTGCAAGGCTACATTGCATCGCATGCAGATGACCAGGTGGCCAGATTGCCATGACAAGATGTGGCTTAATACTTCCATCATGCATTAGGATTTGTGGACCGGGGGTATGCATGCTTAAACTCTCTTGGGTTGCTACTTTATGCAGACTTCCATTGTGTTATCACTACTCCTAGAGAATGCCTTGCCGAGGAGGCTGTGCCAGGGGCCAGGTTGTGGCAACAAACATCCTTGCCGCCCCGCCCCGCCTAATGTCTTACCGACCTCTCCAAAATCTTAGACTTAGCCAATCACAACCTATCTAAATCCCCTATCCTTGACAGAAAGACGGAAGAGAAAGAGAAAAGAGAGCGCGAGAGAGAGAGCGAGAGATGCATTCGTGCCTCTCTCTAGTCTGTGTTGAAGAAGAGACGGTCATCAGGGACAGCCTCTCACTCAATAAAACATCGGGTGAGGGGGCGGGCCAATGGCCTGAGGGTCGTATGCGACCCCTAAGCCCAGCAGAAAGAAAGAAAAGAGAGAGAAGAAGAAGAAGAAGAGAGACAGAGACGGAGAGAGTGGCTGGTGCAGCCGAGCCCCCAGAGGCAAACCCTCGGTGGGGGATTCAAAAGCCGCCTGCACTTGCGGGTGCGCGTCCCCGCTTCGGGAGGGTAGGTAGCCACCTGCCCTTCCTGTCCGGTAGAGAGAGAGAGAGAGAGAGAAAGAGTGTTTGTCATATATATGCGTACTTGATTTCTTGCTTGGGGGATGTTCGTATCCAGGCAATGCTGAAACCTTGTTCTACCGAGCGGGGGAAGCTAATATAGCCGACCCTGAGGGACCAAGGACTCGGCTGCGCGCACCGCGTGGGGGAGGGTTCCCAAGGGGGCTCTCTCTCGTAGCCGTTCGCAAGCAAGCAAGAGAGAGAGAGAGAGAGAGAGACTGCCTGCGCCCCAACCCCAAAGCAAAGCAAAGCAAAGAGAGTGAGAGAGAGAGACAGAGAGTGGCTGTGCTGTGCTGTGTTGCGGGATCGGGGCCAGTGCATGAGGATAAGAAGCAATGGAGCATGGAGGTTGGGATGCGAAAGAAATCAGAAAAGCGGCTTTACATCTTGGTTTTTCCGCACATCTTCATGTGGGGTTCTTACTTTTACTGCTTGGCGTCCGCGCTCCCTCCTTCCTTCCTTCCTCCTCCTCCTCCTCCTTCACACTCACTCACTCACTCACTCACTCACACTCACTCACTCACACTCACGTCACGTCACGTCACGTCACGTCACGTCACGTCACGTCACGTCACCTCACGTCACCTCACGTCACCTCACGTCACCTCACGTCACCTCACGTCACCTCACGTCACCTCACGTCACCTCACGTCACCTCACTCCACCTCACTCACTCACTCACTCACTCACTCACTCACTCACTCACTCACTCACTCACTCACTCACTCACTTCTTAGTATCACAAGCCAGCGCACCTCAAGGTAGACACCTTCCCAGGTGCTGTCATGTACTCTTGCAGACGGGAGCACAGTGCGCGCCCTTAAGAATCTGGTGGCAGCCGCGGGTGGTCCGCATGCTCGCCTCCAGCAATTGTCCTTCGGCAGCTGCGTCCTGAATGATGCGACCTCTTGCCAGCAGTGCCCGACTTCAATTTTGAGAGCTTTAGCGGCGTGCGAGGTCGTTGCGCATGCAGGGTATGACGCGTAACGTAGCGTTGACTGGGACTAGTAGTAGGCATTTGTGGCTCAGGTTGGGATGGACTTGTGCTGAACCGGTTACCGTGACCATGACGCGTGTGCTGCCAGATCTGGACAGACTCTTGGCCGGGCTCGTGCACCCGAACTTCCTGAGACGGCCTGGGAAGTTGCTGGAGACTGATCTCTACATCTTGTGCTGCCACTGCAAAGAAGTCTTTCTGTCGGAGCCAATGCTGCTGAAACTCGAGCCGCCACTGTGTGTTGTTGGAAGTATGCATGGCCATTTCGATCAGCTGGTAAAGCTGCTTGAGAGATGCGGAAGCCTTCCTGACACGTGCTATTTGTTTCTAGGCGGTTATGTAGACAAGGGTCCACCACGGAGCATCGACACGATGGCATTGCTTTTCGTGTACAAGGCTCAATTTCCGGAGAATCTATTCTTGCTACGGGGCCGAGACGAGGATGCATCCACGAGCCGGATTTATGGCTTCTACGACGAGTGCCAGCGACGATTCAGCATTAAGCTTTGGAAAGCCTTCGTGGATGTGTTTAACTGCATGCCGGTGTGTGCTGTGATTCGCGAGAAGATCTTCTGTGTCAGCAGCGGCCTTTCGCCGCATCTCACCAATTTCGATCGAATCCAAGAGTTGGAACGGCCAGGCTTTGTTCCTGAGGAAGGCCTTCTTTGTGACTTGCTTTTTGCTCGGCCAGAGACTGGGAGCGGCTGGGAACTCGAGGGTCCCGGTCAGGACATTGCGCATACGTTTGGTGAAGATGTGGTGCAGAGTTTCGCTGCAGAGCTGGGGCTGGACCTGATTGTTCGGAGCAACCAACCTGTTGGCGATGGCTACGACGCTTGCCGAGTAGGCTGCAACGTTTTCTTTGTCGCACCTGCAAGCTGTAGACCACCTAACTGTAGGAAAAGGCGGCATTCCGTTCCGATGAGTGATGCGGGGTAAAGGGGGGTCGACACTTGGGGCCTGTTACGGTCCACATTTCCTGCCTTAAGGCAATCTTTGCAGACAAGCTTTTGACTCTCTGGAGCATTGCAGATTGGGACTGGGATGATACGGATGACCAGCGGTATCACCTGGCTGCAGTCATGAAAGTTGCTGACAACCTGGACATCACACTCGAGGATCTGTTTGCGCAGAAACACCTTAGCTTTGTTTGGACCGATGTTGGTATTCTGGAGATAGAGAGCCATAGAGAGCCAGAGGAAGATGGGTGTAAAGATGTATGTGTGAATGTGTGTATATATACATACACAAACACTCACACAGATGTGTATATGTATGTATGTATGTATGTATGTATGCATGCATGTATGTATGTATGTATGTATATATAAATAATATATGTATATCTATATATATATATAATATGCTTCCCCCCCAGAGATCCACGCGTTTTGGCTTTATTCGGAAAGAAACCCCTCAAATATGACTCAATTAATTAACCCGAAAGAACCCTTCCATTCTACAGCATTGCCTGAAAGCCCTAGGTACCCACACCACCTACAAAACCATGTATATGCAGTATGCGTAAACCCTTATATATGTCTCTATGCATATGATACACGGGTGCTGGACACCAAGCATAGACTTACAGGGGGAGGAATATACGAATACAAACAAGCACGACTACACTTGCTCGGGGACATGGAAACAAAGGAAGGCAGAATGATCGTGACGGAGATGACGACGCCGACGATGATTATGATGGTGTTGAGGACGAAGATGTCGTTCATGAGGATGACGATAAATTTTAAGGGTGCGTACCACAGACAGCTCCAGTGAAAAAGTAGTATAGTAAAGCAGTAACTTATGCAATAACAGTGCAGTAATTGTTCATATATAGTACAACAATATAATGCAGGCATAGTAGTAGTACTGTAGTAGTACTCTAGTAGTACAACAGCACTACCATAAGAAGATTTAGGGCGTCCCAAAATCTCGCAATATAAATGTCGCCGATGCCAAGATAACTACGAAAGACTCAAAAGTTTTCAATTTGAAGGGTTTTTTTTCCAGAAAGGTACGTTGTGGGGGCCCG